TTTTAGTGATAAGTGCAAGATAATTGCCTCAATCGTACCCAATGACACCAGAAAACACTTGAACGTTAGCACGAAATGGAACAAAAATCCATATTATGTCGATCGGGCGACAAAGGTAAAGAGAAGAAAACAAACCCAAAGTGTTCCTTTTAACTTGTGTCAGCAAAAGAATATTTGAAAAAACCCAAAAAAAACCCAAACAACCCAACAATGTTCATATAAAAGAACCTACACGTATGAAGCGTGCTGACAAAATGAGTTGCTTCAGGGATTCAAGACTTATAGAAAAAGATATATGCCTATTACACTTATAGGTGAAGTGTTTATAATTTATTAGAATGGAATAATAAAAGGCATGTTATAGTTTTAAAATATTGCATTAATAAAAATTCAAAAAATTTGACCCTTGTGTCGATTTTTGGCCAATATCTCCATTTTGTGGATTGGGAGGAGTAACTCATTTTGTCAGCACGCCTCACAAAAAAAATCATAATTGACCTGTCCAGTAGCCTATTTTATCTAAAGTGTACCTACGAGACCAAAGCTAACGAGATGGAAAACAATGTTGGCAGACTACCCGTAAGACAGACATTGGCTGTTTTCGGAAAATGACTTCACCTCTTTAAAAAAATGAAAAAAAAAACATATCAAAGAATTTACGTCAATACGAAGTAAATAAAAGTGGGTGTATCAAATGGTGTTTATATGAGCGTTTGTATAGTAGATTTAATCAGTATTTGTGCAATCAACATAATATCAATTGACTGGCCTTTATAAAGTGGTGATATATGGGTGTGGAACGGCAAATAAAGTAAGCAAACAGACATACCAGTTCTGCATGAAACTAAGAAACAAGATTTTACTGGTAGACTATAATATTAAAGTGTGTTTCATTTGTTGTGTGCATGTTTTTACAAAACTGACATATTCAAGCTATTTTTGCCTGTGGCTTATGGATTTTGTTCATCAGGCCCAATTACTGTGCAATTGTGCTTTTGCAAGCATACGTGTGGGTATGTGTGACTGTGTGTGTATGTAGGTATGCATGAGTGTGTATGTGTTTGTGTGCGTGTGCCCGCGCGTGCATGTGTGTGTGTGTGTGTGTGTGTGTGTGTGTGTTTGTGTGTGTGAGTGTGTATGTGAGTGTTTGTGTTCGTGGGTGTACAATATGCGTTTATTGACATTGGGACAAAGTAAAGCGGTTTTGAAAAAAGCAATATACTATTATATCTCTTGGGCCGTGCCGTGAAAATCGAATGCAACGAATAGAACTTTATTTGCATTGTGCGAACGGTGGGGCTCTTAATTACTTTAATTCATGCTATTTATGAAGTAAAGTGGTTTGAGCTTAAATTCTATAATTTACAATGCTTTGTATAGCTTTGAAAATAAAAAAACAAAACGTTACTCACTCTTCGAATGAGTTGAAAAAGTAGAAATGACGACACCCCCCCCCCCCACAATCTCAAAACTTGAAAAAACCCTGTTGCAACTATCTGGATGAAATGCTCTCAAAGCAAATGAAGATTTAAGTATTGTTATTGTATCATTTTCAATCTCAAACTTCACGATCATAAATAGTAGTACGAAAAACTAAAGAGTGGAAAGACAACTGACAACTATCTCCTGAGCTGAGGCAGTGATTCTATTATAGGCTAGCCAGCAACACAAATAAATAATATTGGTATATAAACAATTTATTGTTATATACCAGTAAAATTATATCAGCAAAATAAACTTAATGAAAGTTATCGGATGAAGGTAAAGGAATATAGTATACTTAATTAAATGACGTCAACAAGAGACACCCTGGATATGAGCTATAGATCATTGGACAACATTTATTAAAAAGCAAAAAGCACGGAAATGGTGCTTTTATTACTTCCACTTGTTCAACAAAAAACAACAACACATTAAGCAAGAACAGAATGTACTGTACGTGTGCTCTGTTGTGAGACAATGGTCTGGTCATGTCAGTGGGGACTCTCAACTACAAGGAGGTAACAGCAAATCACAACTACGTGGACATGTTCTTTTGCGCTCTACATACTTCCACGTCTCAATCAGAGAAAGATACTTTATTGGTTTTAATCATGATGTGTTTTAAAGATTGTTTATTTTTTTGGCATTCAAAAGGAGGTTCAGAAGAAAGTGAACTGTGGGTGGGGTGGGGTCGGAGTAAATGTTTCACGTTTCAGATGGTTTGGGAAACAGGGAAGGGAGAGAGGGTTCATGAAAGTGGACATATTTTCTGGAAAAGTTAAAAGTTAACAAAAGAATTTATCAAACGATTGATCGTCTTGTGAGATCCAGTATCTTTGAAGGCTGCAAACAAACGGACAACACGCAATATTACGTAATGAAATATTTTGCTTTCCTCTATCGGTTTTACAATTAGGATTGAAAATTAAAGTGGACATTTAATATACAACATTCTTCAATAGCAAGAAATTGCATTTTTTAAAATTAGATTTTATATTCTTCATTCACAAGCATTGGGTACTTTTCCCTTCCAAATAAACTTTGAATCATAATTTGTAAACATGCATTTGAAAACGGTTTGAGTATAAGCAAAATATGACATTCTTCCAAAACCACAACAATACGTATGATACGTTCACAGTAAAGAAAGGAACCACCAAAGAAATGAATGCCATGGAACATCACTTAGTAAAACGTCGAAAAAGTACAAAGTGTATGATTATGATTACATGGTAAGCAGTGCAGAAAGGCACGTAAAAGGAAATTGACAATCCATGCACTTTATAGTAAGCTTCTCTTTCCAAGCACAGAAATGTATAGATGTGGTAGTATAGAAAACAAATCACACTAGATTCCGAAGTCTTTCAACCAAATCTACAACGCTTTTGTTAGTAACTGGTGCTCTGATAAATCTACAGGCCGGAGTGCTTTGGTGCAGAACTAAAGGAAATTAATAAAATAATCTTTCTTTGAAAAAAAAAGGAGCAACAATCATATTACCATTCTGTCGATGAAGGAACATCAATAATGATCATGAATCGTTAGCAAGGCGACCATTCTCCACAGTTCAGTAGCTTATCAAACCCATCATTATCAGTGCGCATCCATACGCTATTGTGGCTTTAAGCAGAAAACATATAGAGTTACAGACAAAAGAACAGGCAATACGAAACACCATCTCGCCTATCATAGAATACAGTAATCCCTATTGAACCAATGTACAAAGAGTTGAACCATGCAGAAAAGCATGGGTATGCCCCTGACGATTTATCTATTAATGATTGCCATCGTGACAAGAAAAACATATCCTTTTTGAGCTGCCCGATGTCCACATGGCATGACATATTTTACAAAGAAAGCTATGCTAGAAGCACAATGATTACTGTTCACAGCATCGTTAGACCGATAGCACTATATTGTGTAAAGATTACTTGCCTATAGAGATATTGAAACACATAAGCCCTATGCAGTGCCATTTTATGTTATTTACCGACATGGGGAAAGCATTTACAGAAACATGTTTAGTTCTGCCTGTGGCCAGTGATGAGGGAAAAAGTCAATTTGTAACAGAAAGGAAGAGATACTCTAACCCACATTATAAAGACGGTTGTTGACATATTTTAAAAATCGTAATACTGCTTATTTATATTGCATATTGAGTTTTTGATACGTTGTTATTGAGCATACCACAGTTCATGATCAAAACAAGCTATAATTGTAAGGAAATCCAACAAACGGTCTCTGTGCTTTGACTGGGGAAGTATTGGATTAAATAATATAAACCCACTTGTTATGATATACCAACCTTCATTGTGATATCTACTTTTAAAAAAATTGTTTTATGCCCATGAGAAACATTCTTGAAACTTCCGAGAGCATTCCTCTTTTCGCATTTTTATTAATGTGTGTTAAATGAAGTAAATAATTCTAGAATACATCTACTATTTTGTAAAATATGCAGCATGGTTTTGAATTATTACTTTTGAATTTATAAAATTAGCTTTTTAAACATTACTATCAGAAATAGCAGTGGTATTTACGTAATTTACAAAATATCCTTTCTAGAAATTGAAATGATTGAGTGAAATCATCTTAAATAATGATTGGTTTTGCTATCGAGGGGCGAACAGGAATTAGTGACACATCTGGTATATACATAGATATAGTTGTAAGCCATATATCTATATTGATGGTGAGTATAGTCACGGGAGTTGAAAGTAGACAAAGCACTCAGAAAGACCACTTCACACGAAATAATTGAAAAGAAGACAGGTACCTGTTTGACACATGTTTTGTACTTATGCCATAGGACTATTTACCTACTCAGTGGAACGTATATCAGTCAGATACAACAAAGTAGATTTTGTTCTGAAGTATTCTACCTAACACGAATGAGTCTTGTGAGTCTAATGAACGTGGGCAGGGTATTATTATTTTTCTCTTCAGGAAACTTAATGCTACTAGATCTATAGTGTTTTTGTTGTGTCAAATACTACCACAGTTATTTCACCACGCCACTAACTTTGCAGCACAGCCTCTATGATTTATTTCAATCATAATAAGCTCAAATTCCTGCCACTGTATATGGATAAGGAGTTTTTAAAAATCTAGCAATACTTCTATTTTTTGCAATGAAGACTTAATTTGATATCTTCAGAAACTGACACACATTTTACTTGTTTCGTATCATTTTATTTCGGAAAATATATTGTATTCTGTATGATTAAAGTAACAGCTTTAGTACTGATTTATTCTTTCAACTTCGTGTTCAAAATGGACTGGTCGTTGAAATATTTTCTGACAGAAGTCTGAAAACTGACCCCCTTTATGTACTACCGATTGGGCATGTGTCAAACAGATATCCACAACAATACTGGCACAGAATGATGAGGTAGTACGCCGAAACTGATAATAAGAGTCAATATCCATGAGATGTGTAATAGCAATAATATGACAGCTAACACGTTGAGAATGATCACCTTGCCAGTACGGAGGCGTATCCACGTTGTCGAGCGTACCTGCATGGAACAGTTGGTTGAAATCCGCCTCTGCGTCCCACATGAGGAAAATATAGTCCATAGGCACAGAGCTCAGCAGATCCAGGAAGAACCAGGTCTTCATGTATTGCTTGGCGATCAGCTTCGGGTCCAGGATAATCTCGTCTGCGAAGTCGTTCAAGATGATGCCTGCATAGATTTAAAAAATGGGAGATACCGGGTACCTTTGATTAATGACCTGGACAAGGTGTCAGATTGAAATATAAAGCAAAACCACTAAGTTCCAGGAGGTAATACGCATTATCAAAATTTCAAGCACACGAGAGGCGTCACTTTTATTTTCAGTTTTATTTTGTTTTTGATTTTTTATACACAAATGTTGTTAAATATAACACATACGAGGGTGCGGTGGCGGAGTATTTAGTACGTTCGTCTCCGAAGCGGAAAGTCCTGGTTCGAGCCTCAGTTCGGGCACGGATTTATTTCGCCCCCTCCTGCCGACCCAGCAGTAATGGGTACCTGACTTCGAGTTGGGGAAGTAAAGGCGGCGTGGAAAGGAACTGACCACCCTATCGCAATATGGACGGAAGAGCCAGGAAGTTGTCTCACTAACAAGGCAATCCCCAATGTCCGGATCGAATGCAGGAACAACTTTACATTTATAACAGAGGCCTTTGACACGGCTTATTAGCTAATTGAAAGATGTTGACTTGTAAAATTATTGTAAATGTTGGTTACTGTAAATATCGGTAGTGATCAAACGAGTAAAGTAAAGTCTACTGAAATGTACCTTTTGTTGGAACTGTTCATTATTCCATTCATGTTTGCAAGATTCAAAATGTTTGTCACGTCGAAAAGAGCAATTAGAAACGTATATTATTAGCACTTTAAAAAAAAAGAAAACACGGTACTAAAATCCAGAATCATTATTGTGTTTGGTCTATATGAACATTACATTATAAAATATAGACTGATAGACGATTTGTGGGGTACATGTTTAACAGCCAATACAAACAATTCATTCCTATATTAGCTCGTGACACAAAATAACGTGAGGTCTACGCCATGAGATATTATCATCGTCCTTGTCAAGTGACCAGCGTCTTTGATCAGGTCTCGTCCAGACGAGGATGTTCTCATTCAGCCTTACAATGTCCTTTCGCGAGCTCACTTAAGGAGCTCATTAAGACCCTCGAGATTCGGTAGCCGTGTTCAGAGTACCTCGCTGGAGCTATTTTTGTCTTCTGTATGAGATCTTGTCTTCTGACTGGTCGCAATAGTCTAGGTACGAGTAGAGATGAAAACATTTAGTGCTATCTATCTGATATCTTAATTTAGTTTGGGTTGCTGTTTTCATCCGTATGATTTTGATTTCAAATTTAAATGTAAAACTCAGAAACAATTCGTGTAATGACGTGGTTGAATCAGGCGCTCGTCAGGGTTTTTATTTTTGGCATATGAGGTTATTAGTATCATCTTAAAGTTTGTTGATTTGCCTTGCTTTTGATACAAAAATACCCATTTATCTTGGATACAAGTATAGATATTGGCGATTGAAGGACGTGGGGGTCGCCTGGTTTCAGAAGTGAAAATTAACGAAAAAATGGCACCTGAAGTTTAGTAATGTTCCCATAGCCTGTGGAAACTGAAAATGTACATCTTTTATTCATTTAATCAACGTTTTCCAATAAAATCTACACGGAAATGTATTTTAATGGGCTTAAAAGGTGATGAGCAGAAAAAACAAATCGATAAAAATTCCCAAACCTGCGGAAAACTACCAGTTTCTTCGCCTTCATTATTTTGACGAGCACCTGATTTCACCACACTGCCTCACATTTTAAAAAAGAACTTCCTCTTGAAAACTCACCCCAACTCTCTAATCCCCTAAAGAAAAAGAAAATAAAAATAAAATAAACGCGGGAAAACAAGCATCTCCTACCCAATCCGCGCGATGACACTAAAAGGGTGTTGGATTTGTAATCGTTAGAATGTAAGTTTGATGTCCTGAATGTTCATGCTAAGAATAGGTTCTTTGCTATAATGTCCTTTCAACCACATTATTGAAACGCTGTGAACTTGTTAAAAGCTGAATCGAACTTTGATAGCGCTTAATTAATAAGTCTACTGAATTGTATTCTTTATAATTTGTAACCCAAATATGAGGTGCAAACTATGCATGGACATAATGTGTAAGCCTGTATCTAAAAAATAAAAATAAAAAACAAAAAAAATATCTGGAGGTGGCTTCTGAGCTCTTAACGAATTGATTGTAAAACCCCCACATTAACAGAACATTAGAAATTGCAAGTTACAGCAACAAACAATATTGGCTCAAATCGTTAATATTAGTATTCTTGGCATGAAGTGCTTGCTTTAAATTATAGTTGAAAGTTCTTGCTTTATAAGTTCAGAATTCCAAATTCAGATACCATACCCAAAGCAGAATTAAATGTATAAAGCATAAACTCCGAAATTCAAAAGTTTAAAAACGTTTTACTTATTTCTAACAGTACTTAGGAGTTTATGCTTTAAAGCGCTGAATTGATAACCTAGTCTGGGATTTTGAAATCAGGAACGTTGTGACTTCAACATCAACAATAGCAGCAGCAGCAGCAACAACAACAACAACAACAACAACAACAACAACAACAACATAAACAACAACATAAACAACAACAGCAATATTAATAGCTGTAACAACGCTTGTAAAACCAAAAATCATACGCTTTAATAGTCATCTTTGATTCCGTGAAAATACTCCTCAGATGTCTGGAGCATATGTTGCTCAACAGAACATTACTGTCGACACCAGAACGTTAAAACGCCAGTCTCGCACGTTTACGCAAATCACACCCAATGACTTTGAATTAATTCCAAGATTTAGATTTTATGACCTTTGTATAATTTGCTCTTTGGGACCCGGAGATTTTGCCTCGCGGGGAAACGTACCCAACGTGAAAGTCTGGTTCTCAAATTAATATTCAGTAAGGTCTGTAATTTTCTATTGAGACCCGACAGTGAGCTCATATTGAAACCGCGTTGTGAGTACGGTAAAAGAGGTCATCAGGCACAGGAGTGAGCAGGGTGCTCACTTCAATTAAATAACAAGAACTTACCGCACCGAATTTTCTTCTATATGTATCATAATAATATTTATGCTGCTATTTTCAACTATAGATCTGGGCTAGGAGAAAGATAGTATGCTATACAAGTCCAGGCAGAATGAGTGAAAATTTATAGTATGTATCGTAAAAGAAGCTGAACTTTGAAACAGATGGATGTAACAGTTGCTATGCAAAAAACAGCAACAACAACAACCAGAAAGAAAAAAAAACTCATTCCCCCAAAATAAAATCACAGCAATACCAAAAGTAGTAACAATTGTCCCCCCCCCCCAAAGCAAATGCAAAGTGAAAAACAAAAATAATCAAGCAAACAAACATGAGAAATCGGAATTAATATAATTTAAAGTTGAAACAATTTACTGTGCTTGTAATTTATCTCCATTGCGTAAGTATGAGTAAAGAAAAACAGATTCTGATACAGTACTCCTATAACAGAGCTTTGGTAAATTACAGAAAAGCATGACAGACTGGCAGAATCTACCGAAGGAAATAGAAGAATCAGGGCTCACTGTGGCGCCCTCCTTTCATCGCTCTTCTACATGCCCCCCAAAAGTATAGTGAATAAGGTTTGAACTTGTAGCCTTTCAACTGGCCAAAGATTAACTCTGTAGTTGGATTGTATTATTCTTTCTGACCCCCTCTCCCTCCTCTCTCTCTCTATTTCTCTCTGGTTGCATCGATTAAAATTGTTTAAATATGTTGTGTAAGTGTAAGTATATAATTATATTTCACCGCGTGGCAGAGGGACTTATATCATAGCAGTCATTGGATCAAATTCTAATACAAATAACTTTTTTGTTTTTTAATCACCACAGGTCTCATTACGTTCTTGAAAGACTGAAAAAATCGTAACACATCACTGTAGCTTTCTTTAGTTACATAATGATATGTCGCTACCATAGCATTGCAACGTTCTATCTGCTCAGTACTCATTTTGGGGAAATTTGACGTAAACAAGTGTAAGTTTCATAACATATCAACTTTGCCGAATGCAATTCTTTGGTGATTTTGGTAACGACTCCAAATAATCTAACAATTTTAAATGAGGAAATAGAACATTTGGTTTTTGATCTCATGATCTTAGTAACTCAAAACGGCCCAAAATGTTAGATAGAACTTTGTTATTCTGAGGTAGCGATGTGCTGTTGAAGCATAAAAAGGAGTCGAGTTGTGTGGCTACTTTCTTTGTTACAGCGAGATAGAATAAACACTCTAGTAGTACTTCGATCAATGTCTGCTGATGACCAATGCATCTGCAGAAGAGAAAACGTCTTAAACGGAAATAGGAGGACTGAGAATTACGTTCATTTATGGCTTCTGCTATGGCCAGTGAGATCACTTTTGGAAGAAAAGCGTTTGCCACATTTTGCGTATTCAAAAGCTTCCTTTCCACTTGTGGATGTACGCAGTAGGCGGGCTTCTCTCTTGGCTTTCGAATTTTTAACTCGAGAAGCCTCGTATGATTTGCTACCCACTGTGATTGCCCCTATCCACCTCGGGGATGTCTGGAGTAGGCTCTCCCATGTTGAGGGACCGATGTTAAAGTCCTTCAGAGACATTTTCAGACGCTACTGTATACTTTCCTTTCACTCGACGACAAGCGTTTTGAGACCGTGCTTTAGACTGGATATCCTCGGTTTTCCTCAAAACGGAGTAAGAATCGTTCTGAAAATATTTTGAAGTTGTTTCAATTTGAAACCCGTGGATTAGATGAACGTTCAGTAAAGGCGCCAAGATTGAACAGTTCCAATTATTTTAGTATCTACACGTATAATGATTAACGACATTCCATTTGAACGCTCTGCGAGTTTTAGATAAAGGAGCAAAACCACACAGAGAGAGAGAGAGAGAGAGAGAGAGAGAGAGAGAGAAAGAGAGAGAGAGAGAGAGAGATAGAGAGAGAGAGAGAAAGAAAGAGAGATAGAGAGAGAGAGAGAGAGAGAGAGAGAGAGAGAGAGAGAGAGAAAGAGAGTAAAACAATGGTATTTCAATCAGTGTTAAGTTCCACAGCACAAATATACCTCAGTTTGGAGGCTGGCTTTTGGGGGCTTTTGGGGTTATAGTTTTGTAAGACGGGCTCTTGGCCATCCCAAACACAAGGCAGATGGGCTCCTGTTGACTAGACTACTCACTATTTACATGTATATCCCAGACCCGCTTCAAGAAACAACCGCTTGGCAGTGGAGTAAAGAAGGAAGCAAATCAAAAGGTAGTTTATACGTGTTTATGGGATTATAGGCTTATGCTGCAAATCGGTGAAACTTCACCCGTTCACAACATTACTGCTGTTGCGCAGTGGAAAGGAACATAAGCAGCTGGGCATTAGAATGAGTGTCAAGTTGTTAGTGGAGAGACACTACTTGAGGTTCCTTTCTCCCTCATAGAGTAGTATTCCCTCGCATCCTGATATCCAGGTAAGGGTTATTTAGTTGTACTACGCAAGTCAGTTGTTTGCGTGTTGGGGTGGTAAAAACTGAGCTACAACAGCAAAACAAAACAAGACAACAACAAAAAACCCCGACTGACTATAGACAATCTCTGCCAATATCAACAAAAGCAGCAACAGCAAGTACAACAGCAACAACAATAACAACAACAACAACGACGACGACAGCGACGAAGACAACTACAACAGCTTTGCACTTGCCTGTCCTGAAGTTGATCACGATGTCTAGGAAGAAGACAGTGTCCGAGATGCAGTTAAACACGATCCAGTGGGTGCTCAGGTCGTCATTGAAGAAGGAAATGGCCACAGGCAGGATGATCAAGTTAGCAATCAGCAACACCAGCATAAACAGGTCCCAGTAGAACCTAAGAGGAACAGAGTGAACACAAATTTAGACGGCTTTTAAGGTAAGACACTCAGCTTGTAAAATCCCCCCCCCCCCCCACTCGTTATCTCAATCAATCTGTTTCCAGGACGTGTCCTTGCAAATCCTCAGTAATTTCGCTTTGTAGAACAAATGAGGCATAGTACAAAAACAACATACATAAATGCATTTAAAAAAATCTTGGATGGGCTGTATGGGGAAGGGAAAAGTAGTTCATTTATTGCCAGTCAACAACAGGGGGCCAAATTATTTTGTACAAGTCGTATAACTATTGTTCAAAGGACCCCAAAAATGTGCGATTTTTATGTTTGTATTTTGAACATGAAAACCAGGCTTTCAGCAGGTTCAGCATATTGACACCAGAGTTCGGAGAACATTTTATAAAAATCACAATAAGCAACTGTTCAAGCGACTCTCTTATAATAGCAAAGAAGTGCAGTGAGGGAACATGGCAGCATACTACAGGATTGTCACCAAAAGGTAGACAGTGAACACAACTTAGGTCTGTGTTGCAAACAGCATTTCTATGGTGAACAATAAGACTAGCAACTCACACATGCAAAGAAAAGATGCAATTATCGTTTTATTAAAATTACTCTGTTCATTTTTGTTCTTTAGTTTCTATCCACTCCAAAAGTTCCTTGTGCAATGTTCTTCTTCCTTATTATCGTACCTTCCGTTTGGATGCTCTCTCTCTCTCTCTTTCTCTCTCTCTCTCTCTCTCTCTCTCTCTCTCTCTCTCTCTCTCCCCTCTCTCTCTCTCTCTCCTTCTCTCTCTCTCTCTCTCTCTCTCTCTCTCTCTCTCTCTCTCTCTCTCTCTTTCTTTTTCTTCTTCTTTCTTTCTCTCATTATCCTATCTCATTTTGTTCTTGTCGTTGAAAGAACATTCAGCAACCTCATCCATCACGTTATTCGTTTAAGATTACATTTCATACAACATGGAGAACTCGGCCTGTCTCCACTCTTCATCCCCTTCATCATCCATCAAGTCGGAAATCTCTTCAGTGCGTGTACGAACTACGCTTTCCACATTCTTTCTCATCGGCCCTCATACCCTTAAGAAGGACAATAATAAGGAAACGTAAATTTACAAATTTGAAGAATTTAAACCGACCCCATCCTTATAAAGTGCCAAGGGACATAATTTCATGCTCCTCTTAATTCTGATCTTTAAAAATATGCCAATCAGTTATTCCCTGAACGTCACGACTTCACTGAACATGCCTCGCCAGCTTAAAGATTCTGAAATTCGATCAGACAAAGGGCAAGAGACCAGGTCCAGAGTTATCCTTCCCTAAAATGAGTGAGCACATCGCTCATGCTCTAGTTCCGATATCGATATTGCATTCCAGACACTCCGGACCCACCAAAATCCATCCTTCCTTTAAGAAAAAGAGTCTGACAACATGCATAACATGTTTCATCACATGGAAATCTAAACTGGTAGACCTAAAATAGTTTGACCAGAAGTAAGGTGCTATAGAATTTCACAAATAGTAGC